CTCCTATTTGTGTGCGTCGGCTCTGTGTTTGATTTGGGAATTGTTTTGAACGCTAAAAGTATTAAAAATTTTTACGACGACTCGACCGCCGATGAAGAGACTGATCCCAAGAGTGATGATAAAAACCTTATGCTTATGAAGGCTACCGCTGGCGCCGCTCTCAATACTACCGGTGCTGACAATCGAGACAGTGATTATGAAACTGCCTATAAAGTGGATGTTTGATATTGACAGACAGTTTAATTGTCCTGGGTTATATTTTTACAATTTTATTTAATTGTAATTTAACTACAATTTACATGTTATTAATTTACAAATTTTTTTCGTTTTAATATTTAAAGTCATTGCATGTGTAAAAATGCATTTATTATTAAATTAACATGTTTATAAGCATATAGTGCACAAATAAATTTGCTGATTGTTTGTCAATCAATAGTATTAATCATAATAAATAAATTGCATTTTTGTTTGTGCTATTTCATGTCAATTATACATGACCTGTCATCTGCACATGACATGACCGACAGTCGGGTCAGACAGTCGGACCAATAGGTGATACGCCTGCGTTCCCTACCTGGCCGTTGTCTGACCAGTCTTAGGTCACGGCAATCGCCGCCATCATTGCTATCACGTTATCACTCATGGCGTAAATGTAATAGTTTTGTTATAACCCAACAATTTATTAATGTTATGACAAAACTAATTGAATTAAACAAACTTTATTTATGTGATGTTATAACAAGACTATTTGAATTAGACAAACCACCATTTCACACGTGTTTTTCATTGTCTTAAAAGCGATTTGATTTTATAATGTCATCAAAAGAGTCAACAAATATGACTAAAATATTAGACATGTTTAGCGATTACGTGAAGTCATGCGATCACATCATAAGTGGTTTGTTTGATACGAAACATGCATTTCTTGTAGAGTGTGAGAGGAATGAAGCGGTGATTTCCAAACATTTCATAGAAGTTATGAAATTAAATTCATTGATGTTGAATGAAAAAAGGGATGCTTTGCAAGCAATGAGATTATCACTGATGGACTTAATGGCCGATCAATCGGAGATTGAATATCCAAATGACGCCAAACAAGAAATGATGGCATCGGATGTGTCGGCGAATACCGAGAGCACAGCCACCGACAGAAGCGGCGGCCGAAACAGCGATACGCGTTCACGGGTCAGACCCCCAGACAACCCGTTGGCCACAAATGGGCCGCCATTTGGCACTCAATGTTATACATATCATGTGAATTCAACTTCGGGTGTGTTTCACGTCCATCAGTGCCGGTGTGGCCGCCGCTAACACTTATGGCACACATTTCTGGCTCCCATTCCTCACCAGCGATGAGAATCATCGGACAATCACTTGTTTTAGTTATGTCTTTGATTTCACTAACTATTCATTTATTACTGATTTTTATGGTTTTGATTATAATTTGATTTGAATTTCAATTTTACTTTTATATGAATTAATTTTTGCCGACAATTTATTCAATACAATATTTTTGCTAAATTTAAATGCATTTCAATTGTTTAATCAGTTTTATAATTGTATTTGTTTTAATACTTTTAATTGAAGTAAATTTTTTTATTTTAACCACAATTTCTGTAATGGTAAACATTATTAATTGAATGCATAAACATGTAATTTAATTAACAATTACAAAATAAAATTTATTTTAAAAATGAGAAACATTTGTTTCATTCGATGAATCTTTTAATTCAATTATTTTAAATTTAATAAACATTTCAATTCATTAAACACTTGAATGCAAAATGACTTACTATTTGGTGTGAAAAGTGGGCTAAAACTGCAAACATTTCTTCACAATTAAACAATTAGTTTACAAATCAATTGAAATTAATTGTAATTTTAATTACTGTTATAGTCATTACAAATGAGTAATTAAAATACAAGAGTTAAGAAAAAATCATTTTTATATCAATGTCCAAATAATAAACATTTTTAACTTACAATTATGTAGTTTTTATAAGATTACAATTATATTTATATTATTGATAAATTAAATACAAATTACAGTAAATTATATTTAAAGTAATTTCAAACAATTATTATTAAAAGTATTAAAAAAATTTACGACGACTCGACCGCCGATGAAGAGACTGATCCCAAGAGTGATAATAAAAACCTTATGCTTATGACGGTTACCGCTGGCGCCGCTCTCAATACTACCGGTGCTGACAATCGAGACAGTGATTATGAAACTGCTTATAAAGTGAATGTTTGATATTGATAGACAGTTTGATTGTTCTGGGTTATATTTTTACAATTTTATTTAATTATAATTTAATACAATTTACATATTATTAATTTGCAAATTTTTGCGTTTTAATATTTTAAGTCATTGCATGTGTACAATTGCATTTATTAGTAAATTAACATGTTTATTCTGTTATATTTATGAGCATATAGTGTACAAATAAGTTTACATTTAATACATAAATACATCTGGTCAGTCTATGTGTGACAAATATAACGAGATTTGTATTAATTGCACATAAATTATATGTCACTAATATAACGAGATTTGTATTAACTACACATAAATTAATTAATTCCTACGAAAGTTAATCACAGAGAAAATATTTATACTAAAAATTTTGAAATGATTTCAATTATATATTCATTTATTCATGAAAATTATTTATTCTTAAAATCATTAATAATTTAATACTTTTAACAATTATTGATTAATTTAAAACATTAAATTCAAAATGTAATATTTGAATTAATTTTAATATAAAAGCAATTTTACAATAGTATTCAATATTTAGAGCTTTTTAATTATAGCGAATATATTTAAAATACAGAATAATTATATTTTTATTTCGATTATTATATTATGAGTTATAATTATAATTAAGAGTAATAATAAAAAATTAGTAACTAATTACGTATAATAATAATTTAGAATTTAAAAAACGAGTTATAAATGGGAGCTAATATAAAGTGCACACTTATAAAGTAGTAACGTATCGGCCAATCGCAAGCCTAGGCTTTCTTTTGATGAATGTTAATGTGATTGTTAATAGATGTCCGGTATTTAGTAGTGAACCGGCAGTCGTGCCACAGACAGGCGTACGGCTTATCACACGTGCTATCATTAGTGTACCGTCGGGTCTGTTTTGAGGCCAATTGTTTCGATAGCCGGCGTTTAGGGTTCGGTCGATACGAATAGCCTTCACTGTTGTGTCTCAGGCGATGTTTTTTGACGGCTGAGGGCCAACTGCTCCGGTACTGACATCCGGGCCAATCACAGGCATAGGGTTTGATATTGTTGTGTGCGTTCCGGTGCCGGACAAGTGTCGCGTGCTCTGCGCTTGTATACGTACACTGCGGCCAATCGCACGCGTATAACCCGTCGGCCCCGCGAACCAAATGAGTTGACCGCCCTTTTGGTCGCCCGCGTCTTCTCACCGATGGCTCACTATTTGTGGCCAACCTTTTGACCGCAGGACTGACCCGAGTGTCCGAACCATTGCTTCGGTCGATGTCTGTAGTATTTATCGCAAACACTTCTCTCTCGGACTCATTATTATCGTCCAAATGATTGATTGTCGAGTCGTTTGGATAATCATTAGTTTTGTCTGAATTGGTTCCAGTCATCAGCTCTTCGTTATCGTCATTATTGTTCATATCATTCATATCGTCGTTAATCTTGGATTCAATTAATGAGTTCTCACTCAAGACATTACTTCTCTCGTCATAAAATGTCTCTAAATCTTTAGTCTCTGTGATAATCATATCAACACTATTAACATCAATGTCTTCGCCAATTATCTCATTGGATGTCTCCACAGACTCTTCGCATTCATTACCGGTTTGAATCATCGGTAGTGAATCCATGTCTTTGTCAAAAAACAATAATTTCAATGAATTCTGATTTTTAACACGTGTTTTTGGATGAATTGCACACAATGTGTGACTAATATAATGAGATTTGTATGAATTGTACATAAATATTATGTAATTAAAATAATGAGATTTGTATGAATTGGCAGCGCCCATAACACGATCGCCAATACTTTGGCAATTCATGTTTGAGCATTTAATGTACAATAAGTTTCTATGATATTTAAAATAAACACTATTACCCTGTTGTATGTGTGCGCACTCAGGCATGTGGGACGGTGTGAAACGGTTGGCCCGGAATCGGATCTTCATGTTTCATTTGGTGGGCGGTGTGTTTCGGTACATAGGGTTTGGCGGCTATTATATCAATAAAATTAAATACATTGAGTCTCAGTTCCGGTACACGAGCTCAGGGGCCAGCTTTATCACCCGTGCCACAAGCGTACTGCCCATGGCTGTGGGAATTCTACTAGGTAGTTTAATGATCAAGTATTTTAAACCCCGACCATTTCGGCTCGTGGTATACATGTTTGTGGTCGAGTGGTTTACCAACGGTGCGTTTTTTGCGCCCATGTTCATCGGCTGTCCGCCCCTTACCCTCCCCTCTACTCTCACCATTAATAACCAGTAATTAAACATAAAATCAATTTTTACCATAATTATTCTAATGCACAATATCTAAATGTGCTACATGCTAGGTTTTCGTTAAGCGCACGATGTAATATGGGCTGCGATTGCACGACCAGTGTGTTCACCCCTATATGCGGGTCAGACAAATCTACCACATATTTTTCACCATGCTACGCCGGCTGCCATACAATAGACAGAGTGGCCAAGGTATGTGTTTTACCTGGTTGCTATTTACATAGCTAACAAAACATGGTATTATTTAATAGAGAGTATCGGGCTGTTCGTGCATCAAAGGTAACGGTGGTGTCGGCACAATAGGGTACTGTCAAAGCGATACCGATAATTGTAATAAATTACCGCTTTATCTGTTTGTGATGACCACCGGATCCATCATATCGTCGACCGCCCGCACCGGCAATACTCTGCTTACACTCAGGTATTTATTTTATTATAAGGGCTTAATTTGATTTACAATCTATTACTATAATTAGTAATTATATTATTAATTATCCATTCATTTAACAATAGGGTTATTGATCCAAAAGACAAGAGCTTTGCGATGGGAATGATTGGCACTTTTTTGGCCTTATTTTGTAAGTAATTAATTAGTTCAAAATTAAAACAATTAAGTTTTTACTAAATATATATATTAAATCATCATGGTGAATCTAATTCCCACACATCGCTAGCATTCATACCGTATCCGTTGATATTCGGTGCTGTCGTGGACTCGGCGTGTATGGTATGGGAGAGTAAGTGCGGTAAAACCGGTAACTGTTGGTTGTATGACCAGGATAAATTTCGGTATATGTTGCACGGGGTGGCCCTCCTATTTGTGTGCGTCGGCTCTGTGTTTGATTTGGGAATTGTTTTGAACGCTAAAAGTATTAAAAATTTTTACGACGACTCGACCGCCGATGAAGAGACTGATCCCAAGAGTGATGATAAAAACCATATGCTTATGACGGCTACCGCTCTCAATACTACCGGTGCTGACAATCGGGACAGTGATTATGAAACTGCTTATAAAGTGGATGTTTGATATTGACAAACAGTTTAATTGTCCTGGGTAATATTTTTACAATTTTATTTAATTGTAATACAATTTACATATTATTAATTTACAAATTTTTGCGTTTCAATATTTCAAGTCATTGCATATGTAAAATTGCATTTATTATTAAATTAACATGTTCATTAACTATTAATAAATTAAAAATTAAATTTTTCCAATAAAATTCTAAATACATTACACGTTATTTACGTAAGTTTATAGAAATTCTTTTTT